AGTAAGGCATAAAAAGTCATAGTATAGTAAGGCTTGAAAAGTCATAAAAACGTCATAGTATAGTAAGGCATGAAAAGTCATAAAAATGTCATAGTACAGTGAGGTATAAAAAGTCATAAAAACGACATAGTACAGTAAGGCATAAAAAGTCATAGTATAGTAAGGCATAAAAAGTCATAAAAACGTCATAGTATATTAAGTCATAAAAAGTCATAAAAACGACATAGTATAGTAAGGCATAAAAAGTCATCGTATAGTAAGGCATAAAAAGTCATAAAAAAGTCATATTATAGTAAGTCATAAAAAGTCATAAAAATGACATAGTATAGCAAGGCATAAAAAGTCATAAAAACGTCAGTTCAGTAAGGTATGAAAAGTCATAAAAACGACATAGTATAGTAAGGCATAAAAAGTCATTGTATAGTAAGGCATAAAAAGTCATAAAAACATCATAGTATAGTAAGGCATGAAAAGTCAAAAAATCGTCATAGTATAGTAAGGCATGAAAAGTCTTAAAAACGACATAGTATAGTAAGGCATAAAAAGTCATAGTATAGTAAGGCATAAAAAGTCATAAAAACGTCATAGTATAGTAAGGCATAAAAATTCATAGTATAGTAAGGCATAAAAATTCATAGTATAGTAAGGCATAAAAAGTCATAAAAGCGTCATAGTATTGTAAGTCATAAAAAGTTACAATGTTTTTATGTCGTTTTTATGACTTTTTATGCCTTATTATACTATGATGTTTTTATGATTTACTATACTATGAAGTTCCTATGACCCTTTATTCCTTACTATACTATCATGTTTTTATGACTTTTTATGCCTTACTATACTATGAAGTTCCTATGACTCTTTATGTCTTACTATACTATCACGTTTTTATGACATCTTTATGCCTCACTCTACCTTTATGTTGTTACATCTTACCACACTATGGCACCGTCGTTCAGTTGTTAGAACTGTCCCTTCACAGTTAAAAGGTTCTTGTTTCAAACCTCAGGCCTGGGGCCTTTCTGTGTCGAGTTTGCATGTTGTCCCTCTGCTTGCGTGAGTTCTCTCAGTCATATGGTAATCCAGACACAAAATTCCCCTCTGGCCTTTTGGTGAGTGCATGCACTACATTAAAACCACCATTAAAACTTTACATAAATCCCCTGCAGTAAAATATTCAACCAAAGAAACACACCACATAATAGGTTGGTCAATTCATGTTTATTCATACTCATCTTATTCAAACAGTGTCACCATAATCAGATTTTCTTCTCCGCCTCAGTTCCTTGGTGCTGTCTTAAACAGAAACTGCAGCTACTTGCACAGGTGTGCTGATGGCAGATGAGACCACGTTTTACTGGGTTATAGGTCATGCTACATAAATAATGAAACTGTGGTATGGTTTTGGGATTCATTTGAGTTATTGACCTGGGAAATTGCATTTCTGTTAATAAGCTATGTGGTTGGCTTTACAACAGTCCTGCAATAAACCCTACCTTTATAAAGGTTCAAATGTTTGTGTTGTTGGTGTTTAAACTTAATGTTGGCTTTGGAGGATGTAGTTAGTGGTGCTGTTGAACTGTATTGCACAAAACACTACCCCAAACGAGATTAAATAGTGGATTAGTGAATTGACAGAAAATTAATTTTGAAACAATTGACAAGCAATTTGGAGTTTTTGGGGTAGTTGCTCTTGCACTTTGCCTCAGTAGTAATCCAGCCAGGAATAAAAGGCAAAACAGTTCAACAGCACCACACCCTTTGTCCTCCAAAATTATATAGTTGGATCAACACCTCTTTTAAATAGTTTAAATAAAAACTGAACATTATAACCTTCACGAAGGGGGGATTTATTGCATGACTGTTGTATTAGATTGCATTAATTTTAGGTGTTCCCTAATAAACTGACAACTGAGTGTATTTCCAGCAGATGTTTCAAAAAAATGTTTTTACTTTGAAACTGATGACCGGAAGTCTTCGTTACTCCAGCCTTGTATTCATGAAGCGCCGCTTTCTCTACACAGGCGAGCGGCACCCGCGCGGCACCGGCCCACCGGCTGTCACATGGCTTAATATGGGTGTAGAGGATTCTGTTTGCCGGTCAGATATGTGACTCCGAGGCACAAGTTTTAGGCTGAAAGTTCGCTTACTAATTACGAGAAAGAGGAACACAGAACCCGGGACAAAGGTTAGCTAACCGTGTGACTGCCGCCCACAGGGGACTTTCGCTTCTCCGTTAAGTTTTCTCAGATGCCTGTTCCCGAAAACGCCGCTTGTTTACGCGACTGTTGTTGTTGAAAGGTAACGGGTAGGACACTCATTGAATTTTTAATTTGGTGCAGCTACAGTACACATCGCTTCATGAGTGTAGTCAACTGCGCAACAAGTTTTTAACTCTCTGGTTGTTGTTGTTGCACCCGGTCTGAACAGCTGACTCACCGACTGAGGGCCGGGGGCACCGGGACACCGCCGCCGCTGAGAACATAAAAGCGCCTTGTAAGCCCCTCCATGGGTTGACCAGCCTCACTGTCTGAAAATGATCGGGTCACCGGACCTGTTGGCCTTCACCGGCACAGAGGGGTTTGGGGAAGGAGAGGAGGACCAGGAGGCTCAGAGTCTACCTGAAGAGCTCTCTGTCCCCCTTTCACCTCCCTCCCACCCCTGGACCACCTCCGCCCAGTTCCACAGAGACTTCATACTGGTGGCTGAATTCTCAGAGCAGGTGAGTGTGTTTTTTTTTTTTTTAAATATGGAAAACACTGTTGTTCTCCAGAAAGTACAACAGTGTATTCAGATTCTGTACTCAACCAAAAGCACCAATACAGAAATGTAAAATACTCATCAAGTCCTTCATTCAAAATCTCACAAATTAAAAACACTGAAGTATTAACAGCAAAATGAACTTAACAATAAAATGAGGTGTATGATAATAATGATATATACAACTACATAATATAAATGTTTGTAAGTTATAGTTCTGCAGTGTAACTTTGTAATAACAATGATATGCATTGCTTAATTATTTTGGCTAAACAACACTCACATATGTGAATTACCTCTTTTTTTATTAGTTGTTTAACTTAAACGAAGCACTAAAGTTCATGAAAATATGTGGAATATTTAATTTTTAATATTTATTTATATTTCCTCTTTGGTTTTTGGATCTACACAGTGAAGTCATATTGCTATGTTGTGGCTCAGTTTTTGTCAGGGTAATGGTGTCGCAAAAGTAATGGTGTTGTTTATTCAGGAAGTGCCAGTGAGATTAAGATCTTTTTTTTTTGCAAGAGAGTCTTGAGAACAAACTATATACATACTTATCACAAGACAGCAAGTCAGTGACACACAGCAACCATCAAACACACTGACACAATCATTAAAACAAACACAGATATTAGTAGAAATATCAACAAGCACAGCATTCCCCAGAGAAATGAGTGTCTTAAAAATGTATAGTACTGGAAACCAACTTTCCACATAGCTGATCTGAGAAACGTTTATAGCTAATCTCTCCTGTGATCTCGTGTCAGTTTCTCCAAATATGTCAACAACTTTGACATCATGGTTTTATGAAAGAAAAAACGGGTGTGTAGTTGCCGTCTATATGTGTGAGCATACAGAAGTAAGGCTGCACCTAATAATTATTTTCATTATGGATAAATCTGTCCATTTATTTTCCCTGATAAATAGTTTTGTCTATAAAAAAAGAATATAGTAAAAAAAAAAAGAAGAAAAAAAAAGAAGAAGACCCATCACAGTTTCCCAGAGCCTGAGGAAACAGAGCAAATGTCTTCAGGTTTCTATTATAAAACAGAGGAAAGCAGCAAATCATCAAAATGGAGAGAAGGTTTGGTGTTTTTCAGCCCTACAAGTCTCTTCTGTGTTTTCAGGTGGGTCCAAAACCTGTACTGACGATACCGGACGACCCCAGGGTCATCGGCACCTTTGACCTCAACCACTTCTCTGTTCGCCTCATGTCTGTGGACTACCAGGCGTCCGGCCCCGTCCACACTACTCATGCCACCCCCGGCCCCCGCCTCAACTTCAGCGAGGACTCCAAAGTGATCCTGGGAGATTCAGCGGAGGATGCTTTTGCATACGTTCACCACCTGACCCTGTACGACCTGGAGGCTCGCGGCATGGTGCGTCCTTTCTGTATGGCCTACGTGTGTTCGGACCAGGCGAAGCTGATGGAGAACTTCTCCGAACTGTCGACATGCTTCTCTCAGGCATCTGACAGCCTTAAGACGGGAAACAGGCAGGCGTTCTCTATGGAGCTGCAGAGAAAACTGCAAGAACTCGAGTAAGATCATGTAGCTGTGTATTAGAGCCTGACTGATACATCAGCATACACCACTGGTTATTGGCTGATATTAGATTATTACAGATGTATCCAAATTGGCAAATATGTCTACTAAAAAGATCCATAGATATACTATTTCCTGAATATACACTGCACACACACTGTATGAAGCACAAAATTCTCACATTTGAGAAACCTGAAACAGGACATGTTTGGCAAAAATCACTAAAGGAATTATTCCGTTATCGGTACTCTGTGATGGAAGTGTAATGTGACTGTACGTTTTGCAGGTCATTAAGTGAAAACACTCTTTATGGTGGGAATATGTGACCGGACATGTTTGAATTAGGAGGGTAAATGTGTAATTTGTCCCGCGTTAACAGATGCAACAAAGCTAATGGGGAAATGAGAGTGATGCCGATTGAGTTTAGTCGATACACACCCACACAGTTCTGGGCAGAAATCCAATCAGCCACATTAAACAACAGAGCACACAGAGCACCCAGCCTGGGTGAAGTCAGAAGTAAAACAGACCTCGGGTTTCCAGGCAGAGAAACCAGGCAGTGAAACACCACCTTTCAGTCTTTAAGTCTGCTGACTAAATATAACTCTCTGTTTCAGGTACACACGGTTGACTTTGCTGCAGGAGACAGAACGTGTGACGACAGTAAATGGGTTCACAGAAGTTGGAGAGAAAGACGGAGATCTTGAAGCTGTAGAGCGTTCAATCTTAAATCACAGAGACCTCCTCCGCCAGGTCACATCCTACCCAAACAGGAAGCTCAAACAGCCTGACTTTCTGCCCTATGACCCAGCTGACTCCCTCACTGATCCTACTGCGTTACTGCCTCCTGAGCTCTGTCCCTCCACCTCCACCTCCACCTCCAACTCCTACAGGTCCGAGCACCATCTGAAGCAGCTGCATGAGCTCTGCAATGGTTACTTCCTCTCCTTAATGAAGGATCAGCTAGCAGACACAGAGTGCCGCCTTCGTGGTGACAGGAGTGTCCTGCGAACTGCTCGCGTGTCACGTTCGCTGTCCAGGAGGCTCATGCTCACCAACTTCCTGTTTGAGCTGTGGAGACCAGAGGACGAAGAGGAGGAGGAGAGGGAGAGCACTGAGCCAGAGCTACAGAGGGTGAGTAAGAGTGGTGTTGAGGTGTCAGAGCCAATGAGCCTGGAATCATTCTGCTCCTGTGTGGAGGAGATCCCGATCAAACTGGAGGCAGGAGAAGCCGGGACAGTGACCCCTGACCCCAGCATTGCCACGGAGATGACAGGAAGTGTGAGCAGTGGCGACAGCATTGAAGTGCTCGGGACTGAGAAATCTTATCGGACGCAACATGCCATCACTGGATCTGACAGCAGAGGTACGTCCACTGACAGATAATCAGTTAATCGTTTAAATCCCTTATCAAGCAAAAATACCAAACACCACCTAGTTTCAGCTTCTCAAACGGGACGATCTGCTGCTCTGTATCAATGTAAAATGAATACTTTTTGATTTTGGGCTGTTGGTCAGGCAAAACAAACAATTTGAAACAAGCTCTTTGAAGTCGTGTTGCTAGCAACGCGTCTCTAAGGATGATAAGTTAGTCTGATGTCAGTCAGACATTGTATGGACAGAATAATTAACTAATCAAAAAAAAAAAGAAAGATGAATCCAGTCATATTACAATACGCCTCTATTACAACAGGTCCAGCTGACAGTTTACTCTCTTCAGCAGAAACACCGGTCATGTTGATGGACACGTCTGTCAGGCGAGCGGCAGTAGATGCAGGCGCCAGGCGTGTGCGAGCGTACGCCAGACGAGCCAACAGCGAGGACAGCATTGAGGTTCTGAGCACCACCGAGTCCATCTTTCCAGATGACCTCACCGCCATCACAGAGGAAGATGCGGAGCACCAACCTCTGAGCAATGGCTTTGACAACGAGGAAGAAACACTGACGGAGTGTAAGGCTGACGATGCTCTCAAAGAGGAGAAAATACTGAATGCAGCTACTACAGGAAATGAAAATGAAAATGAACTTCCTGTTCAGAAAGATGATGGTTGTGTTGATGAGGACGAGTCTTTAAAGCAAATAACCCTCAGTGATGACGTCGTGATCAAAGAGGAACCGGCCATCGAGAGTTTGAAGAAGAATCAAGTCCATGAAGACAACAATCTTGAGAAGACGCCCAAACTACAACAAGGTAATAAATAAATAAATCAGGTGGATATTAAAATGATTCCTCAGCATCTCTGTAACTCTATCTCTACACTAACAGTTGCGAAAGTTCTTTTCATTATTGCCAAATAACTGGAGGTTATGGAATTATATTTACGCTCCAATACTGTACGCACAATTAAAGAATTTGGAGGAGCACAAATTATTATTTCTAGATGTATTTTATCATGCAAGGAATAATTTAATTTGAGCAAACAAAAATGTTCTCTGTGCTCAATAAATTTTGCTATTATTAGTTTGCTATTATCCACATAAGTGCACAGTAATAAGGTTCAAAAGGTCCCATTACATGCTCAGAACTGAGGCACTGATATAATACCGTAAAAAGGAAATCATGTGTAGAACAGGTTCCACAGGGAACCCTTAAGTAACAATGCAATAGCACACTTCAAATATAAATTTAAATACACATGAGATTACAGGAAGTCTGACAGGATTTAAATTACAGGGGGTGGACTACTCCACGATATAATATAAAATATGTATAGTAAGGGGGTAGAGGGGGAGAAAAAATCCTAAATAGCCAATTGATGCCCTATCAGATCACCTATTACAGGTTTTGTATGTCAGTGAGCTGTAACATTAAAATAACATTTAGCTTAGAGCTTTAAAGTTCTGTTTCAGAAGCTCTTCTTTACTTTCTTGTTAAACATCTTGTGACCTCTCAGATTGATCTTTTCACTAACTGGGGAAACTGTTTTTTACAGAAGCGGTGAAGTTGATGCCAAAGTGGTCTGAAGCCCATCAGACGTTGCAGTCGGCGCCTGACCTCTATGTGAACTTTGCTCCTGTAGCCCCGGTGGAGGTGGACCGCTGGTCTCCACCCTGCGCTCCTCTCAGGCTGCTGAGCATCGACGAAGCGTCTGACTGCACCAGCTTTACAGGCTCCTCAGACCCCCCATCTCCCACCCAAAATATCCACAGCAATGCCCATTTAGATAAGAAGAGGAGAAGGAAGGCTGGACTCAGAGCCCTCAGGTTCCTCAAACAGAACTCATTCTCCCAGCATGCCGTATTTTGTCTCCTGAGCGGCCGGCCGCTGGTTGTCGTCGGAGGAGACGAGGGTTTGGTCAGGAAGCTGGTGGACGCTCTGAGTCTCTTCCTGCCTGCTCCCGGTCCTGATGGAAATGCAGTGATGCCGTGTCTGTCCATGCCACTTCAACTGACCGACCTGCTCACATGGAGACTGATAGGAATACACAGGTACGCCATAACACACTGTCAGCTGATGATTACTGGCCAAAAGGGGGAAGAAATCGACTAATGCAGCTTTAAATATTGCTCGTATACACAATATGGCACAACCTTAAAATAACGCCTCAACACTCAACAAGATCTGGGGACGGACCTATCCAATGAATTAAATTCTACATAAAATTCACTAATTCACTATACAACGTTATTATTATTACCACGTTAATCATTATGGTCTTGTACCATGTGAAAAATATCCTGGTTGAATGTATTGGAAACTGTAAACTGGGCTTATATCTGTCATTTTGGTCACTCTATCACTGTGTGTCTTTACACCTTCACTGGCCGGACATTTGATCCTGCTGAAGTTCTGCATAATGTTAAACTTGAGAAACTTAGATCCTCTCTCATGGGTTCAATAAAGACATTCGAAGAAACCTGGAATCCCCCGTCTGAAATATATTGATCTGCTTAACATTTCACAAGAGACGAACAAGGACTGAACGGGGTTACTTGTATTTGTATCCTTTTATCTACTCATTTCTTTTTATTTACTTATTATTATTATTATTTTGTTTTTTATCGTCTTTTTTTCTGTTTCCTCCTTTCTCCCCTCCCTTGGTGTTTCATGCCCTGAGTAGGGTGGGGGTTGGCGTATGTGGGTTTGTAAATGCTATCTGTTCTGTGATGGCAGCCTTAACTACTTTATCATGTGACCCACCGTGATATCTGTTGTTATCTACGCAGCTTTACTGAATGCATTCAGTATGTACTCATGAAAACATACTTTGTAATTAATACTCACCTCTTTTTCTTCTTGACCAGATCATCCTCCAGCTCCTCGTCCACCATTATCCACTCTCTGACTCGCTACAGTCGTTATTTGGCCTTGCTGGACCTGGACCAGAGGACTCTGCGCTGTCCATCATACTCCGGCTCTCTCGTTGGCAGACTGGCCAATCCTCACACTGGCATCAGCCGAGGCATCACCTACCTGTTGCACCTGGAGAGCTGCCTGACTGCGCTGGCCAACCAGGCTCTGCTGTACACGTTTAGTCGTGCTGCCCAACGTCCAAGCGCTGCAGGAGGGAAGGAAGATTCAGGAGGCGAGGATTTTCTGGTCACACGAGGATTCTGCAGCAGTGAAAACGATTTGAGAGTGATGAGCTTCCTGTCTGACCTCGTCAAACAGCGCCACGCAGGACGTGGACCTCCGGTTTTAAGATTCTCTTATAGCTCAGCGCAGCTCCACAGAAATACATATACAACATAGAGTCCAAAGACACTGGAGGGACATATCGCTTCGACAAAATGCACTGATCTCTCTCCATGACTGAAGCAGAAGGTTAAACATCATCTGGCACTGTGAAGACAAAAGAATCACATTTGTAATGTTTTTATCTGCCGTGTTTAAATGATAGTGTGTTTGTTTGTGTGTGTGTGTGTGTGATTCCAGCTTTGGGTCATGTATCTCTGGAATACTGAACATTAGTGCACTCGTGCCTGGGGCACCAAAAACCTTGATGTGCTGGCAGCCACTACACCTGAAGTATTGTTTGTTTGTTTGTTTTTTTAATTGCAGTGTTTTTAAAATGTAGCCCAATCACCGGAATACATATGAAGTCTTTGTAATTCAAGATAATTGAGCCACAGATGTACATTGTGCAAAAAAAAAAAACAAACCCTTTTGTAGATCTGTGAGTACTGTGAAGGCAGCGTGGCACCGAGGCTGCTAGATGTTGGAGTTTGGTGCTTCTGTCCTCCTTAACTCTTATAAAAGCTTGTTGCTGTGTCATTTAGCATTGAGCCAGACCAACCCAGTTCAGAGGGGTTAATTTTATCAGGACTTAACATCATTGCTGTTGAAACAAGCACTGGTTCAACTGAGCCGAAGCTAAAGCTGGATGGACACTGAAAATTGTACATCGAGCTTCATGCAGGACGTGCATGTGGTAAAATCAGTTTAAAAAAAAAAAATTACATTTTGGTAATTAGCAGTGGTGGGAGTTCAGGTCCTTCACTTAAGTAAAAGTATCAATACTCCATTACAAATAAAAATCCTTCATTCAAAATCCCACTCAAGTAAAAGTACATAAGTATTATCAGCAAAATTCACTTTAATCAATCTTTTATCAAAAGTAAAAGAGCTCATTTTAAAGTAAAAAAGGTCCCAGTGAGTGATATTTTATTATATACACACATTTGTTTCCATTCTTCAGACTTTTCAATAGTCTTTGCAGTTATTTGTGAAATATCTATAGATCTGAAACATGACAAGCATCCCCATCTAGAGGGACAAAGGGGGGAAAGTTGGAAATGTAATACTTAGTAATTGTTTTTATGAGATTATGTTTTTTAAGTTAAACCTGGAAATTAACAAGTAACTAATAGATAAATGTGGTAAAAAGTAAAAAGTACAGCACTCTGTCTGAAGTGTAGTTGAGTATAAAGTGGCATAAAATGGATATAATCAAGTAAAACACAAGTACCTCAGATTTGTTAATTCAGTACTTGAGTAAATGCAATTAATTACTTTTCCCCACTGACTGTTTTCTACACACTGGCTTTAGACCTCAGTTAAACCACATGTGCAGCAGGGTTCAGTTGAACCTCAGTGAATACACTTTAATCAATAAGCTGACAATCAGAACATCTGATTTGTTTGAAAGTACTGTACTTATGTACACCAGCCGTACTTGATAATTCCATGTTATGCCACTTTATACTTGTACTCTGCTTCATACAGGGAAATACTTCACTCAACTATATCTATTTGAAATGTTTAGTTATTTGTCAGATTCAAATTGAAACAAAATATAAGCAGAGAAATTGTGTTATTGTAGATAAAGCTACATTAAGTAGTTAAAATTAGTCCCACTTTTACTACTGACATTTAAAGTATATTAGTCATGTACTGTTATGTAAACTTTTGAATGTATTTGAACTGCAGCTGAAACAGAGCAACAGCCTCCTCCTGTTAAACACTGTACTTTTGTTATTCTAATGATGCAAATATGAGCCGATTTCAGCATGTGTATATTTACAATAAATAAAATCATATTTTACACAGGAACTCTACATTTGAAGAAATCATTCAGCAACCAAGACTTATATTTCCTTTCCTTTCTTTTCTTTTGGCCAAAGAGGTTCATAAAGCTGTCAATTTTTTAATTTAATTTAAAGTGTCACATAATGGCCTCAATTACAATAAAAAAAATTAATATCCAAAAGTATTTCCAGAAGGTAATGAACATACAAAATAAAAATCATACAGCGCAGAGCTCTGTAGCCAGTTCCCACCAACAAGCCATTAAAGAACAAAGCAACATATTGTGTCTCTATGCAGTTATTAAATGCTGAATAACTGTGAGGATGTTATTCTGCGTATCACAGTCTGTGCAGGTTTACTCCGACGTCTGTATGAAACTGAAAACTCTCAGTACTTGAGCCTGTGCAGAGGAGGCGGCCGCACAGTGACCTCTGCATTTCAGGACGTTCACGATTCTGGCAGTAGCATCGATGTGCATCAGGACAAGCTGCGAGAACAAAAAGTACAATTATTTTAAAATGTTTCACCTGTGCAGAGTCAGTTTTTGATTCATTCATTTTAATCATTTAATTATTAAGTCCCATATTAACATTTACTTAATTACACTTACAATTTTGATGAAGCACTGACGGGACGAAAAAATATATCATGACACATCAACTCATGGGCTACTTCAAACCCTTAATTACTACTAGTGCTGAAATGAAAATGAATCAAGAACTATAATGATTGATTAAATTCATTAATCAAAAAAGGTAAAAAGTCATTCATGATGCACTGACTACTGAATGACGGATTGTCGGATCGATGTGACTGACTAAATTTGAGAACTATATAATTTAGGGCTGCAACTAACAACTCTCTTCATTTTCGATTAATCTGCTGATTATTTAAATTGTCTTGTCTATAAAATCTCACAATAGAGAGAGATGACATCTTAAACTGTCTTGTTTTATCTTTGTCTGACCAACAGTCCAAAACCACAAAGGATTCAGTCTATCATGTACGACAAAGAAAAGGCATTAAACTGCTAATTTGACATTGCTCCTTAAAAAAAGGACAATTATTTGATAAGAAAAACAGATGCAGATAAATCTTTAGTCAAATCGATTAATTGTCTAATGAAGAGCCCCACTGAGGTTCGCAGAAGTGATGCTTAGTTCCATCTGATAGTACAATCATCTCAACCACTTCCACAGAGAGGAATAGAGATTTTAAATTAAAAATGCAAAGGGGTAAAGAATTATTCCTGCATGATCACCCACTTTAGGTGTCTTCAGGTTTAAGAGTTGGTCTCGGTAGAGAAAAGGAGCTGCTGAACACAGATGGTACTGATGTAAATGTGAACTACATGGAATAAAGAAGACACTACAGGCTTTTCCTTTAAATGTGGAATCTGAGGGGAAAACACAAAGCCAGTAGGACTGAACAGCTGATGAGAGTTGTGGGACTTACAGCTGACACTGTGACGGAACTTTCACTCGGGGAAGACAGAGTTTAACAGCCGCTGGTCGGGAGGAACAGACACAGAAGGTTAAAATCGAACACCACAGCAGGCAAAGTCCAATAGTGAAGGATCACCACAGGTGGCAGGGCGACTTACAATATGTGCTGATCACCACCACATCAGGAGAGGACATGGAAAAAAAGGCAACAGATCAGATCCACTGCCTCTCACTACCTTTAACATCCACCATAAAAGGAAAATGAAAACTCTACAGCTGCTGTTTCCTAGCTCAAAAGGGCTGTTGTGCTTTTCCTTGCAGCAGGTTATAAATTTAATATGACTCACTGGTCCCAGTTCTCTGTTGAAGAAGACAGAGTGGGCATGATGTAACGAAGAAAGGGTAATGAATTATCCCCATCTGTCAGAAACACAAACAAACAGATGCTATGTTATGGGGCTGTGTTGTTTCAGCTTCATTTAACAATACACTGAAGAGTTTTTCACCACTGGTGGCGCTGTAGAGCCACATGTCGACGGGTGGATGCTTGTATTTGTATCTCATGCTCCATCTACACATGCATGATGACACACACGGACACCACCCGTAAGGAGGTGACGTGATACAAATCTCTGCTGTTAGTAATAATGGTGGATGAGAAGATGATGACTGACCATGAGAAACCTTAAAAAAAATTAAGATTTTAAAACAGCAAATAAAAGGCTGTGAATAATTTTGACGGTGCTGATGTGTCGCCACTCGACTACACAAGAAATATGACTGAAGTTTGGTGAAAAATAATGCCACATTCACTGGTAAAGATGGGAAAGATTCCTTTGTTAACAACTTGCAAGCTCAAGGTGGTTGTATGATTACAGAGTTGGTCAAATAATTATTAAAATTTTGTGCATTGAAAATATAGCACAATGTACATTATATTTGGAAATAATGACACTGAACAATGATCTGTGGTGTGTGCCACACGTCCGTATTTGTTTCATTTTCAGTCGGGTATGTCAGAGGATCCAGTCAAAATTACGACTTGGATGTTAACGTGAGAGCTATAACTTTGATATGACATAAATTCAGCACTAATAAGAGTTTGAGAAAGTTCAGTACGTCAGCACACCTGGCCAATAGCTGTGTGAAGCGGGTGTGATTGTCAAGTTGCAACTTCAATAAGTTACAAAACTTGTCAGACTCAGCCCCCTCAGACACTGTTAGACCATCTGACAAGCACTTCATGTGAGGCTTTGGGGAGCAGTAATGTGGGCTGTGCCAGGGACCAGCTGGCGTTGTATGTTGGTGTAGTTCTTACATTTTGCCACTGGACGCTGCTGAAGGTTGCAAATCACTTGTTCGCTCCTTTAATGTTTTTCCTGTTGCTGAATTTCATGTTGAGAAATTATGAACCTAAAACATCTTTGCATAAAGTCACTATTTTAGATGACTTAAATAAAAAAAAAAATCTAAATCTATAAAATAAGAAAAATAAATGTGGAAATATAAACTGGAATAAATAAGTAAATTAAAAAAAGGGAAATATGAAGAGAAATATCTTATTCCTGTTTATATTTCCACATTTATTTCTTTATTCTTCTTACTTACTTAACTCCTATGATAGATAATGGACGTTGAGATTTCAGTGCACAGATTCATTTATTGACGCCCACACACCTGATGTGTTTTCCACCTCCCGTGTGATTTCCTGTAAGAAGGAGTTGAGACGTTCTGCGTTGGAGGACAAATTTTCCCAGAGCCACTGGAGAGCCCACACATTCTCCTGAGAGACAGAAGAAATATCGGTTATAAACGTTTACATCCTCATTTTCAGCTTCATGGCTCATCAAGACGTTTTCAGGAAAAGACAAAAAGTGAGAAAAGGTTGCTTCTATCACGAGATATCAGACATATAAAGTTTAAGATATTTCACCCATAGATGTCAAATTTAAAAAAGGAGAAGAAGAGTAGTTGAGAACATAGCAACTGCAACAGATCATGACAGTGAATTCTTGGGAAAACAACACAAGCTTAAGACTGAAACAATATATTGAATTTCAGCTAAAAAAAAAAAAAAAAAAAAAATAGCTGAGGAGGAACATGAAAACTGTGAAAGCTGTTTGTCCACACAGGATGTCACATCTAAGATGGAGAGGAAGAGAAAAATACCTTAAAGGTGTTGAGCACAGGGAGTGCTGGGCTCAGGGCACCATTGAGGATTCTCAAACCTAAAGCGCCTGTTACCAACAGTAACAAGGCCTGATCTGGGTACACCTGTAAACACAAACTCACATTTATTAAGAGTTTATCACCCCTTGTTTGAATGCTGATTGATGTTTGCATCTAAACACACTTACCTCCAGGAAGATCCATGGGATCTGTATGTTTGACCCGTGCTGCTTGTGCAGTATCAAATTCACAACTTCCTTTGCTTCCTGGAGTCCAGACACACACACACACACACACACACACACACACACACACACACACAAAACAGATAACACAGAGTGCAAACAACCATTAAAGATAAATGAAAATTTCTAAAGAAGAAAAGAGTTGGGAATAAACTAGAAATACATACATGTAGAAACTCTGCGTTCGGTGCTGGTAGAGCGGTGAGTGAAGCAGAAGGTGTGTTGACAACTCTGAGTAAACAAGTCCAACACTGAGACTGGATCAGGAAAACATCAGACATACAGTCACACACTGGAAAATGTTCAACTTGATTTATATGGCTTAGTTCATACCCATGTGGAAACTGAGTGTGGTTTAAATGAAAATAAAAAACATTCACAATCACTTTGTCACTACAAGCAAACAAACAACACACACAAACTGTACTCAATGGCTCACACACATTTTGTCATTAAAAATATCATCAGAGAGAAGAAATGTTTTCAAAAGAGCAAGTGCAGGTCTGTGCACATCTCAAGTCCTCGGGGAGACCATTCCAGCAGCTGGGAGCATATAAAATAAAACGCAGCTTCACCAGACTTTGAATTGACCTCAGAGGAGCAGAGACAGGTGACTTGAGAAGTCTGCGTGGCTTCTGTCATGACACCAGGAAAGAGCCGTGTTTTATGTAACTGCTTTAAAACCCAGAAAGAAGACGATGAAAACTAAGTGAAAAGCAACACGGGAGCAGTTACTAACAATCTGAGCTGAGTAAAGATCACAAACACTTAACACTTAGTTACACATTTGATTTGATTTTCCATTACCTTTAATGTGAATTCTGGTGTTTACCGGAAGTCAGTGCAGGGATGTTAGGAAAAATAAACAAAAGTATCTTAGTAATGTGTTGGGTCACCACATGCTGTCAGAGCAGCTCTGAACTCTTCTGGACGAACACCATTCTTCCAAAAGTTAAGAGAGCGCTGTCTAACACGTCAAAATCTCCCATAGGTGTTCAACCAGGTCAATATCTGGTGACTGACCTTCGTTCGTAACTCATTTTTCAGGCGTTTCCTGTTATTTGTCCCCCATCTGTAGGTTTAATGGGCTTTTTGTAATCTGTATTACAGCTGTACAAGTCTCTCCAGTTTTTTTTTCAATATTTTAAATATATAGAAGGACAAAGACATTTCCAAAAAGCAAACTAAGCAGGGATGTTCGTTGTAGACTCACATCAATGAAGACAGCAAAGCAGAATCTCTGAACCCTGAGAGCAAACTTCACCAGCTCAGCACGCTTTAGTGGAATAGCATCTAGAGAGAAGAAGGAGTTTCACGTCATGTAAGAAAATGTTTTGAGATTTTCTTTTGTGTAAATGGCAGCAATAGAAACACAATATATATTTATCTGACCTTTAATTGGCTCCCATGGTGCATCAGGACAGCAGAGCGCTGCCGGCTGATTGACTGTCAGCTTTGGTGCAGTTGCCGTTTCAAAGATGCGGAGATAGAAGAGGAAGAGGGACGGCGTGAAGCGGGAGGCGGGGGCGTTCACCGAGGGGAAGAAACTGTTGCAAGCCGACATGAAGTGTCCGTCCATACACATGAAGAACGGGACGAGGTCTTGAACCTGCTGGAAGCTACCAGTGACATAAACCAGATACAGCAAGTGACGTTACCTATCATGGCTAAATATATAAATCTATGAATGAGATTTTGTTTTCCAAAAATAGCAAGACTTTAATTTTTCTAATTTCTGAACCTGCATTTACTTACTTATTTTCATTATTGATTAATCTTTTGTTAATTTTCTTCATTTCAATAATTGTGCAAGAAAATAAAAGCCCATCACAATCTCCAACAGTCCAGAACCCGAAAATATGAAGATTATTATCAATATTATTACAACTACTTATAATTTTCTTTATCAATTAGTCTACCATTTATTTTCTCGATTAACGGATTATTCATTTGGTCCATAAAATGTCAGCAAATAGCAAAAAAATTTCCATAAAAATTTTCCTGAACCTGTTGAAGTATATTCAGTTTACGATCATAGTAGAAACTAAGAAATCAAGAAAATATTCAGATTTGAGACATTTTTCCCCCCAAGAATAATTTTAAAAAAATCCTAATAAACGAGAAGCTGGAACATGGAAATATTTGGTCACTGTCACTGTCAATTGTTTCAGATCTAATTTGTAACAAAAGAAACTTTTTATTTTTCTTCCTCTTTTTGGAAAAAAATGTACAAACTTTTCTCTGAACAATGATCAGTCAACTATACAACAAAAGTGCTATTTACATTTTTAGGAAATATTTACAGTGAACTACACAAGCATCTCAATTTGTGCTGACAAAATACATCATGAAGAAAAATGTAAATCTGATCTTTATCCGTCCCTAGATCGAGACTTCAAACATTCTGTTACTGTAAGAAAAGAGATATTCCTTCCTAAAGACCATCTTTGGTCAATAAAAGTTGAAATGAACTTACTTATAGTTCACTTACACAGAAAAAGAGGAAAGCATGTAAAGTATTTGTGGTAGTTTGGACATAAACACTCACAGTGCATTGCCATCACTCTGGACGACACGCAGGTAGCGGCTCAACTCTCTGTACCTGCAGACATGACACAGCCAAGTTTGGTTTTTAAGTAAATGTGTGTGTGTGTGTGTGTGTGTGTGTGTGTGTGTTCACCATATAGTACATCAGTATGAGAGTTCCTTAATCCATTTAGTACCTGTGCTGTTGCTGTAGCAGCTCTGTTCTCAGTAGAACTATAGAAAGCGGTTCGCTCAGGACGTCCCTCTTGCCTTTGTTTTTGCGAACACCTGACACATTCTGCCCCTTCAGCACAGACACCAGCAGGACGTCCTCCCAGGGACGAACACACAGGCTGCAGCGCACACACAAAGTTAAACTTAAACTCCCCTTGTGCAACACAAAAGCTCTTATGAACTGTTGTGACATTTGAACGAACCTGTTCCTCATGGTCTTCAGCTTGACAGGTAATTGTAGTCTCTTGTAAAAATTCTGCAGTTTTTGGTTGAACTCTGGAGTGAAATCAGCCATCACCAGCTGTCGCTGCACTGACGATACGACCCTGAAGAAACCCAAACACATAAATATAAAGCTACAGGTGAATTGGTCACAGATACAACACAACACATTGTTCTGTGTGTGTGTGGCCATGTATTTACCTGTGAAGCAACGTCGCTTTAGCCATATCAACACAGGCAAAGGCAGACTGTATGATGAGACCTCTGCAGAGAGTCACATTAACCAAAGAAAATGAATAGACAGAAAAATTCAAACTTGAAACCATAAATGCAGAACAGGAAATGCTTCTTTCTATGCGTGAGTGCGTGTATGTGCGTGCGTGTGTGTGTGTGTGTGCGTACTCTGAGGGTTGAAAATGTTTAATAAAGTCTTCAGCAGCTCCAAGTCTCATGATGGCAGCAGCTCTTTCGTCCTGTTCATCTGCTTTGTTCAGGAATGACGACACAAACTCGTACACAGGGGTGTAACTGCAAAAAAAAACTGCCATCACTTTTCATACGTTGATAAGGTAAGTCGTCGAAATGTGACTAACATGAGAGAGAAGTAAGGGCCCCTCGGTTCCAATTAAAAAGGTACCCTGTGCAGTTTTTGACCAGATCAGAGCAGTGCTTTCATGAGTGGGTCCAATTGCATTTATGTTGTGCACATGCACACATAGCATGCAGGAGGCACATTTCACATTCTGCTGTTGGATTCACTATTTATCTGATTTATCTTAATATTTGGTGCCAAGAAATGTAGAACTGCACCAAAAAAAAAAAAGAAGAAGAAGAAGAAAAAAAAAGAAAGCTGCTATTAGACAAAATGCAGATGAAATATACTCAGCATATTTTTTATACCTCAAAGATAAAGCACCCTGACTGTAAACATAACTTTTGTTAAGTTAGAAGAAAACCCCATGCAGTACCTTTAAGGGACATCTTCATGCTTAATGCATACAATAATATTTTTAACAACAACGTGCTTCTTACTTTGTGGCAGTAGTTAAAGGAAGACCCTTTACTGTTTATGTTGCTTAATGCATTACGTCAAGCACTGACCTCAACCCCATTCAATTGTTCGAGCGTGGCCGCATACTTTTGGCCAAGTGGTGAATCTCACAACTATTGAATGGGTATTTGTTTTGGTACAGTTCTCCATACATGAGGACAGATCCTGATAACATTCATGTGTTAAAGATAAATCACAGATTTCTGATATATAAACAGAATAAGATCATGTGAAGGTGGATAACTGTTCTGCTCTCCTGAACAACTCACTCAAAGACGCGGCCTCTCTGGTTTGGCAGGTTTACACCATAATCCTGTAACGTCTTTCCCATCATGAAGATTAATAAGTGTGCAGAAAGGTCTTGTTTGAAGCACTGTAGCATCATTTCTGGACAAGAGAAAGACAAATCCAATTGTAGTGAATTAACATGTAATTACAGCCGATGACAAGCGGCTCAAATCTGAGGGTTTTCCCAAATGTAAATGTGATTTTTATGTTCACATACAGTTTTTGTATGAGCGTGAGTACCTGCACGTCGGAGGTGACCATCTATCTCAGACAGAGTGAGTTTGAAAGTCTTCAGTCCCCCCAGCAGCGTGCCATTTCTCAGGTTGTTCCAGAAGTCACTCCTTTTGTGGCTGTTGCAGTGACATGTGCCACTGTGACACCACATTGCACACTGACCACACACACAGGACAACAATGTGGAAAAACAAAAGCCATTTGCATTAATGCAGCTTGAAAACTTGGATTTTTCCTTATCTTTACCTGCTTTAAACACTGAATCTTTCTTTGTGGTCAGTAATTTCATTCTTGATCAGTAAATTAAATTCCATCACACAGAAATATGCTTTTTATGTTCCAAAACAACAGGAAATGTGACAGTGAAACTAAAATACGACATCATCTTTGTGCAGCTTGTAACGTTCAGATTCAGAGATATGGCTGGGATCACAGGGTAAAATCACTATTATGACACCACAGTATATGCCAATGACAACAGTGACAATATATCTTGCAACATGATCTATCAAGAATCTATAATATATCTATAAGAGGAAAACATGCCTCTATCAGGCCAATCTTATGAGGTAACATTCAATGTTGTGTTTCATTTATTAAACACCCTTTTAAAAAACAATTTTTTTAGGGCAATATTTTCTAAAACCAATAGATATTTGCATTATAAAAGAAGGAAATGTGATTTCTGTTGCAGTTTTAAGAGATATTACTAGATTGAAATAAAACTGAAACCAAGCGTAACAAGCTTCACAAAAGGTAGCGTTCACTGCAGGGTTTTTGAGCTGGGCTGTACTGTAAAAGTGTTAGTGTTGTAGTACTATAACATTGTGTCTTCTAGTCATTCAGCAACATTTCACCTCTTAAATTTAAAGACACTGACAAAAGCAAAGTGTCAAATAAAATGGTAAAATGCTTCCAAGCCCAAAAGTGAGTGATGGAGTCTGGAAGACTGATATGATGTGGGAAAAGGAGAAGGGTTACCCCCTTTTTATTATTTTTTTATGTGTCTGCTTTTTTTATTTTATTTGAATTATTCCACAGTCAACGTGGCAACTCAAGGAGGCACCAGCATCTTTAAACAGACTGCATCAACACATACCGCTGAGGCCAGCTTGTCGCAGATGTAGCAGAAGCACTGATCACACATGAGCTGGTTGCTGGCCACAGGAGCGTTGATCTCACAGTCTGTAGCCCTGAGCAGGACAGAAGGGAATCAGTGCGATTATCTCTAATGGACGACAGTATTTCACAAAGTGTGTGTGTGTGTGTGTCGATTTACTCACGTGAAAGGATGTATGGGGCAGTCATAGCGTGCATGAGGCAGCACCTCAGCACGGCGGGAGAAGGTCACGACCAGGTCTTCATCCAGAGCATTTGGAGGTAGGACGAAATCTGAAACACAGAGGAGGAGCAGCTGGTCACTATTTATAACCTCCAATCTCACACATACCGCTAGTGTAAAAAGTAAATATAGTTGTTACCACTCTTCTTCGTATCCTCCACCTCCACAATGAGCACCGAGGATTCACTGCATGATATAGCAAGTTCTTCATCGTCTTCATCATCACTGAGGATGATTATTTCTCCATTGTCTCCCGTTGTACACATCAGAAATGTCTAGCGCAAGAAAGGGACGGAAAAGACAAGCACCAACTCACAGGTATGTATACAGTAAGTGTCTCTTATATAAGTTGTCGGTGGTCTTTGAGTGAGTCACACAACAAACGCTTCAATCTTTGTTCCACAATGAAAGCTAACAGGCTCTGCTGTATAGTTTGGCTGTACCCGGTCCTGCTAAAATCACATTCACTCTTCTCATACTTTTAAGAAGCTAGCTTTCTTCAAGGCAGGAAACCGAGCGGTTAAATGCGTCTAACAACCGCCGCTCGTGTCACCAGAAAAGTTATAACATTTTATTGTTTAGTACAAAGTCTAGTAACGTAAACCTATTAAAATACATTTAAGTAGTTGTTTTTGTTCGGTGAGCATAGTGACATAGTTTCCTTACCTTTGCTGTCTGCGTAAACAAAATAAACGTAGTTTTTCGCGCCGGTGTTCTCAAATCTGATGGCACCGGATGTGACGGGTTTTCTTCTTCGTCGTCTTTATAGGTGGCTGACAAGCCGATTTAAAAACATACTACCGCCACCTACTGGACAAGACTGGCGCTTTAGATAAATACATAAAAGCACCAATCTGGGACTGAACTGCGTAATTTCATTATTCCACATTACCTACAAATCATTTTAAAGTCCCGCTTTCATTGCTGAATAACACAAACATCTTTCTTTTTTGAATAAACTTTTTGGAAATCTTTTTGTTGCAATTTTTATTCATCTAACCAACTATTTTTTAAAGTTGTGTAACAAATTAAATCTACCGACACATAAATCTGTAGTTGACTCAGAAAATGGCCCTAAAATCCATATTTCAAAGTGAAACATAATAAAAAACACAACCAAGATGACATTTCATAAGAATCCTGTATTGAAACTTGGAATTTACTTTTATTACAATATAAATGACAATACCATTGATTTTTTGCTTAGGATAAAATTGCACAAAGTTAATTGAAAGGAGGTACATGAGGTACAACTTCAACACCAAGTCCATTCAGTTTTAGACAGCTGAATGCAAACAGACAACCAGTGGACCAAGGAGAGAAGTCAGAGATATTTTCAGGAGTGCTGTTATAAAGCAGTGCTGCTAGTCTTGTCCCTTTTACGAGGATTATGTCTCCTTTCTGCAGCTCTCTGGTTCCTCTGAGCCTGCGTCGGTCCATCTGCAGCTTCTGTTGTTAGCTCTGCAGCGTCTGGTTCTGTTTGCAGTCCTGGCTGTTCACCCTCAGCCTCCTGAGCAGGCATGGTTCTCAGCCACTGCTGGTAGTAACCACGAAAACCATCAATCTGGACCAGGTAGTTGTTTCTGGACTTGTACTGGGATTTAGAGAGTCAGAGAGAAGAATGGAAGGAAGAGACCGAGAGACAAGGGGCAACATGAAGAATATGAATCTGCTGGGAAACCATTTATCAGCAAATGGAGCAAATCCAAGTTCTGCTTCAAATGAATCAACCCTCCACTCAGAGCAGGCATCTGCTCAGTTACCTCGTGCTCAGGTGTGTCCTGACTAGATGGAACACCAGGGCAAACTCTTATGTCGTCATGTATTGGATATATCCTCACCTGGTTGTAGTTGGGAGGATACTGTGCAGCAAATTCCAGCTGTCTGATGATGACATCGTTAGGCCACACCTCCATGTCGCTCATACTTTTAAGGAGTGTTTTGAGGTAAATATAATCCAGTCTCTGAGTTGCTCGGCCAATTAGAGCAGAGAACACCTGGACATTGGGCTTGAGTCCCGCTTCCTGCAGAAAAACACAAAGAGCCAGGTATGTGAAGATGACAGAAGGCTATCAAATCACAACATTTTTCTTCTTCTTGTACTACAACTACTCCTAATATAAATACTGCTAATATTCACTATGTTATGGTTCATCAATACACAGCATTTTCTCTATGTTTACTTGAACATAGAACATGTGGATAAGACAATCTGTTCTGACTTCTAGGATGTGTGTTTTGTTACCTGCATGTCCTGTAGCAGCTGCAGGCCGTCCTTCTTATGCTCACAGCCTAGTGCGAGGCTTCCATATGTCTGTACGTCCACACTCACATTGCGCCGATGCATCACACTCAACACACCCTGGAGAGAGGAAGAAATGCATCAAAAACCTGCCCACACACATTTAGTGTTGCTTCACCAAAACTACAAAAAGGTATAAAAGGTTCTTGTGCTGATACCCCTCTGAGATTTCTGCCTCCTCCCCAGTACAACTGAGATGAATCGAATTTGGCCTGCACTGAAAATCACACTAACACAAACATCTCTCTCCAGAATCTCTCTCCTCTTTGCTCTGGATAAGGAAGGAAGATTAGGTTTACAGTAAGGGGCTTGGGAATGCATTGTGTGTGTCTGTGTGTGTGTGTGTGGATGGTGGTGTGTGTGTGTGTGTGTGTGTGTGTGTGTGTGTGTGTGTGTGTGTGTGTGTGTGTACCTTTGCCACCTCCATGTCACCAGCCCTGGCTGCTCTACGGATCACGGAGTTAAAGAACGCGACGTCGAGCTTGACGTGATGCTTCTTGGCGACCTGCAGCAGCATCTGCAGAGACTGGTGGCTCGGCTCCATCGAATCGGCCAACAGGGTCAGAGTCCTGATGTCTGGTCTGAGTCCATTAGCTGCCATCTTCTCCAGAAAACCTTTAGCTCCCCCGATCAGGGCGAGCCTATCTGATGCTCCATCCACAGTACCGAGGGAGACCACAGCACCCTTCCTCCCTTCAAAAAGGTCCAGCAGATTAGGGGCTGTGGAGTTCATTATGTGAACAGGCAGCGAGGTGTTTTCTGTTTGTCTGACTGGTATCAGGTGGGTGGATTCTTGTCTGCTAAACGACTCCTCAAGGTCTCTGTGTGGAGCAGGCTGTATAAACAACTGCCTCTCCAGAAGGTCAATGTCTATCACGTCCTTGCATCCAGACTCTGACTTGACCTTTGACACGCGTTCTGTCTCTTTCTCGCTCTCCCACTGAGTCCTAAGCAGAACACCAGTGGCCAGGGCAGGATCACCAATCCCACAATCCCTTGCAGTTCTCAAGAGCAGGTTATAGTTCTTGAAGTCCGGACGAATCCCTGACTTAAGCATCTGCCGCCAAACCTGAAACCAACACAAAGAGTTAGACTACGTCCACACTGGGTCATCTAATTTTTAAAACAATGTGTATGTGTGAACACAAATTGTTCCAGATCTTTTCAAAAATAGATCTCCGTCCACTCTCAAATGTCTGAGCATGTAGGAAAATAGATAATCTCTTCTTCGTCATCCCCTTTACAGACGGCACATAGCCTACATCATTGACAAGGATTTAGTTTTTTTTTTTTTGTCAGATACGTACATGATAGTGATTTGATATGAAACATGAATAAAGCTTAAGTGTGTGGTCGCCTCCACTGACATTTAAAATGATTACTGTCAAACACACACCAGACCATGGCTTGGCGTTATGTGTGGTCATCACGTCACTGTTTTGCAGAAGCATATGCTTTCCTCATAGGCACAACTGCAGGTTTTCTTGATCCTCTGCTTGTGAAATATATATTTTTGGATTTGAAACTTTTGTTCAGACAAAGCAAGTCCGATGGACATTTAATTCATAATTTGTGACATTTCATTGGCCAGATGATTAATTGAACAGTTTGGTAAATCCTCTGCAGATAAATTGATAATGAGAAAAATCATTAGTTGCAAAACTGAAAGACTCATTATTACATTTGACCTGCTGTTATTCTCTAAAGAATCTTATACACATTTGTAGGTTCCTGTTAGCATGTATCTACCTGTAAAGCCAGTCTGAATCCTGCCTCTTTGTCCTTCAAGCAGCCCATCAGCAGGTAGTGAAACGTCTCCTGAGTTACAACATGTCCATTCTGCAGCATCTCCTGCAAACATACACAAACTCATGTATAAAGAAATCTCACACAGTTCAATGGAGCAACTTCTCTCCATACACCCATACAAATGTCGTACCCTGAGTGTGTGAATGCAGGCCTGAAGGTGGTTGGTGACGGCGTGTGTCTTGAGAAGAGCGTGGTATGTGATGGTGCTGAGGGCGTAGTTTTTGCGCAGGAGTTCTTGCTCCAACTTCAACGCTTGCTGAAGACCGGCTTGTTTGGAGGGTGACTCAGCGCAGGCGTTGAACAGCGCGGTGTAGGTCGCATCTACAGCATCTACACCTCGCTTCTTCATCTGGAAAATATACACACACGTAATTACACACATTATTATGTGATCCGAGGCGGTCATCGTTCATGTGTGAGTCTCAAGAAAGTTACATCTGAAAAAGATGTATGTAACAATGTGAAGTAAAGCTGATTGTTTTAGGCTAAAAGTACAACTTGGAAATTGAAGCAAAGGCTAAAGCTATGACCGGAAACTCAAATAAACACAATATAACATATTTTGAGAAAACTGAGCTTAAAATTAACTGGTCACAGTCACAATTATAGTAGTAACTAAAATAACTAAACAAAGTTAGGAATATAACTTAAAAATGAATGTAAATGCACAGCATAGCCATCACATTAATACAGTGTCCCTCACACCTTCACCAAATATGTAATGTGACTATAAGTCAATTATTTGATTATTTGAGGGACAGAAATGATGCTTCAGATTTTAATAACTAACTAATTACTTTAAAATCTAAACTAAAACTTGTCTGCCTCTGGCACATTTACAGTAATAAACAATAACCTCCATTTCCCCTGATATATAGACCAATAAATAATTGAAAAAAAAATACAAGATATTTACTAATTGAGTGTAACCCTATTAAAGCAAGCACTTTGAAGTCTGAAGTAACATTTGATGTGTTGATGATAAATGATAAAAGTATATAAATGAAATATTCCTACATCATTGTAGAGTCTGAAGGCCTTTTTCAGCTGTCCGGCTCGACCACAGCCTCCTATCAGGACGGTGTAGTTGTACTCCTGCGGCTGCAGCCTCTCTCCCTGCAGCATGTCTCTGCTGAACAAATCCAAAGCCTCCTGCAGCTGTGAGACAACAGCATATGTTTGTCAATAACACATAAAGAAAGCAGGACAGACACAACAGTTCAACCCAACTGACCTTGTTGTCTTTGATCAGCTTCTTGCACTGTAAGAAGTACCAGTACGGTGTGTTTCTCCTCCCAGGCCTCCAGCGACCTTTAACTGCGTCCTCATTCTCTTCTTCCGCCCAGGCATCGTCGTCTTCTCGGTGCTGCAGATCCTGGGTGTCTGGGCTGCTTTTCCTGAACGACCTCCTGGCGGATAAGTCGGCGGAGAGGGAGCCGAAGCTCTCCCTGTCTTCTGGGGCTGAGGGGGCAGCCAGAGGGTCCGCATCCCTCTGCGAAGCCGCGGACAGGGACACAGACCTGACCGTTAGTCCCCCTGACAGCTGCCAGGGAGTCGGTGTGAAGAGCCAGGATGACCGGACTTGTGTCAGGCTTTGTACCCCTGTCAGA